CTGAGAGGAAACGATGTGTTTATCTGACCTCTTCCCCTGATTCCTCCTCTATGGCCCATGGCTATCTGACCCCTACAACTCCTAAAACACCCTTTGAGCACCAACCAACCACTTTTTTTTCTCCTCAGCGCAATGTACATATTAACACCTTTTTACAGCACTATTATTTTCCTCTCTTACCCCAACTACATACCAAGTCTTATATCTTGCCGCTGCCAAGCATGAGGGTGTTTTGCTTGGTTCCCCCCCCCCACTCCAAAACAACAACATCACCCTGTTCCTCCATGAAAAAACCACCCCCACCACCCCAAGCCCTGACATAGTCCCACGGTTGTTTGGCGAGGGGGTTTCCTCTCCTTGCTTTTTTATCTGTGCACTCGCTCCGTGACCCTTGTTCCCCTTGTTTCTTGCTGTCTGACCTACAACCACCCTCCCACCCCCACGCCAAACACACCATCCTCACTCCCTCTGTGTAAAATAGACAAGCCGCTGCTGACAAATTCTCCTCGTGCCTCGACATCTCCCAAAACCGACATCCCCCCACGACTGCACATTTATGGGATTTTAAGATCCTGTTCTTTTATTTTTATTTTTTTGTAACGCATTGGACGTTTCCTCCGAAAAGTGTAATATCGACATTGTGCGTTGTTAAGTGTGTTTAAAAATGGATCCGCACAATGTCAGGTTTCCACTCCTGATTCTTTTAAGATCGTAGGAACGGGGCAATGTTTTCCTTCCAGTCCTCCTGTAGGTTTGCAGCCAGGTAATTGTCGTGCCTGCACGCGAACCAGCCACGGCCCCATGTTGCCTGAGAGGCAGCGTGCACTTTGCAGGGCTGCTTGGCTGGCGGTCCCGCCTGATCCGCTGCTGTCATGAAGGAGAACCCGGGGCTCCCTTTTTTTTTCATAGCCCGCACGCACGCCCTCGCACGTCACGTGCACGCGCGAACCGCTCACGCACGCACGCACACACAAGCGGGATCGATTTGCTCGGGACTTGGTCTGGGAACCGCTGAGAATCGACTTTAAAAAAAATACAAGGCTCGAAAGAAGCAAAGAGCTGGGGCCGAGTTAGGGAGATGAGCTGAGCCGAGGTGGGATGAAGCCGAGGGGGGGAAAGAGTGGCCGCGAGTCGGTGCGGAGGTCTCGCGCACACAAAAAAAAGGAAAAAGAAAAAAAGATTCCAGGAAAAAGGATCTCTTAAACCCCCATACCGAAGCCCTACCATCGGACAGTCATACTTTGAATTTTTTCGTTTGTTTGTTTGCACAAAATGCGAGAAGCGAGAGCTGAGAGATCCGCGAAAGAGTCGCCGAAACCACGCGGAACCAACAGGCTGGACTTGGAGCTCCTTCCCCGGGCTGCGCTCTGTGACCAGCCGCCGCTGCCCGACCCCCGCGAATCCCGTCGAAACACGTCTCTCGACACCCACGATCCCCCCCACTCACGTCCCGTCCCCACCAAAAAGCCCGAATCTGCATTCAAAGCGCTTCTTTTTTCTACGTCTCGAAGGATCCGCTTGTTCTCGCACGTAGACCAAGAGGAGAGGACGAGCGCTGATGTGAACACAGGTAACGACACAACGCTTCCAAGGCAGCCCAATAATCTCGAATAAAGCTCGAAACTTGCATGAAAAGAGCCTTTCTTGCACCCGGAAGGTGAGTTTTGAAACGGGGGACCAGCTCCGCTACAAGTCCACCGCCATGGAGAAGGAAAGAGGCTGAGAGAGAGAATAGGATCGCGCAGCAACAACAACACAAAAAAAAGGAGACAAAGTTGAAACTTACAATTTGCCGCTTTGTGATGTTCGCTTTTTAATCCAGTAGCGAGACGATGGAACTAAAGATCCCATCAAGGCGAGAAGAGTCCCCTTTCGGTCAATTTGCGCTCGAGGGTGGGCGAAAAAAAAGAAAGATCATTGTTGTTGCCGAGTGCTTGGCTGGAAAAAGGGGCGCAAGTAGGTAGCTATTAGTTGTTAAAGGCGATATCAAAAATAATTTGGATGCAAAGCAGCCGAGTCCGGAGTTGGAGGCGCGCGAGGAAGAGGTGAAAGTGAGATCTGATGATTGGGGGGAGAAAAAAAACTCTTTGGATCTTTATTCCTGCTAATTAGTTTCCTGCGAGAAAAAAATGGCTGTGATTAATTCAGTGCGCATGTGCTTCATTACACAGGCACGAAGGGAAGGGCTAATTAGCCGCCTTGTGGATCAATAAGATTCAGCAGAGGAGAGCCGGCGGAGGGAGGGCGAGGAGGAGGGAGGAAGAGGAGGGAGGGAGGATGGATAGATACAAGGAAGGGCGAGAAAAAGAGGAAAGTAATGATCAGGAATAGAAAATATGGAATTAAGAGAGGCGGGAAGTAAGAGTTTGATTAGTGAAAGTGAACGCTGGCTGGCCGCCGAGCTCCACGCTGCGTGCGAGGCTTCGCTTCCCATTCGGCTTGCTTTCCCCGACACACTTTTTTCTCGTCTTTTAAAAACACTTGTAACATATATTTAAATGTTTTTTTTAAACTTGCGTTTTTCACACGATTCGCACATTTAAATGCGATGTAGGTTTTTGGTTGGTGTTTTGTTTCCTTTCCTTCTCTTCCCTGCATGCGTTCGCGAATACAGTATTTGTCACTGTACGGTTGAACAACTTGAAAAGTAAAAAATAGCCGGGAAGGAATATTAGTGTTTAATTCAATGCAAATGTTATGATTTTTAATTCTTTTTTATGATGAAACTATCAATTGCACACGCTGTCACAGAACACATCCAACAGAGTAATTTTGCCTGTGGATGCGAAAGTGAATCCATGATTTTAAAAAAAAAGCTATGATGTCAATAAATAAATACACAATCGGTGTTAAATTATCACTCAATGATGTACTCGTAGGAAATACCGTTCGCCACGTTTAAATCACACGACTCGGTCTATGGGAATGTTCTTCGATATTAACATATTTTAAAGTAACATTAATGTAAGGTGTAATTAAGCTTCTCTAGGATCAACTTGCATAATAAATACCAACATTCTCTTTGACAAAAGTGAATGCATTTGTGTTTCGCTACATATAGAGACACGTAAATATGTGTCCATCGGTCATTTAAAATACATTACGTCACTGAACCAAGGGCAAACACTTTCAAATATTTTAGAGTGAAATGGAGAGTCATGAGAGGATGCGTTTTTTCTTATGTTTTATTTTGAGGGCACTAATGCACTTTGGTTTATTTTTGTTGTGTGTAAATGCAGTGAGATTTTCGCTTGTAAAAAAAAAAAAAAAGATCCTTTCAATGGGCGTGGGGGGGTACCTAACTATTTGGGGCAAGTGTCAGACACATGGAAGAGATAGATCTGATATACTGCGGAAAACAAAACAAAGCATGCCGCCGTGTCACCTAATGTGAACGATACTGTCAATACATTTTTTTTTTTACGAAATAACCAGAGAAGTGATCGAGAGTGAGATGCATGGCTCTTCCCTTAATTTCATGACGCTATACTTGCCTTGTGGAAATGTCAAAAACTCGCTTGTATAAGTATTATATACCGTATACCCCCTCTCTCTTGTATAATAAACCATTTAATATTTATACCCACTGTCCTCTGTGTCTATATTGCACAAACACATACTGAATGCATTGTGATGATGCTCTGCTTGATTCTTTGCTCTGTATACGTCCAGTCCAGAAAGTCCAGGAGGCAGCTTGAAGTGATCACATAAGGTGCCATGTTTACGGAAACAATGTGGATTGGATATTCTTCGCTGTAATGCATTCCAGCACAGATCAGATCATTGATATAGAACGCCTAGGGTTAGTCTAAACATGACTTACATGACAGCGAAATAATTGTTTTAAATATAACAAGTGTAAAGCAGCGCAGGACTCGATCTTATATTTACTTTATAAGGTTATCGACGTGAAAGCGCTCGATGTAATCTTTCACGCACACACCCTTACTGCTAAAGCATATGCTGCGTTGCATCCTGGCATTTCCGGCACACTTGCCATCCACAAGTTGAGGCATGTAATGATACCTGGGTTTTTTTTTTGTTTGTTTTTTTTTAAGAGGAAAACACACGTAGACACGCACGCGCACACACGAGTGCGTGATTCTGGCACAGTGCAGGAATCTGGAGGATTTGCGACATGTCTGCTCTCTCGAGAAGATTGTAATAAAAAAAATGGTTGAAAATAGCGTGCGAGGGGCTAGGAGATAATAAAAAAAAAAAAGAGGCCGTTGTAATTTGAGGCTTGTATGGAGGCAGTCCTGCAAAGCCCGGTAGTGCAAACGCGGAGTTTACCAGAGTGTATGCAAAAAGGCCCGAGTGACATTAGTCCATCATCATCAGGTAGAGGGTGGGGGGAGGCGTCTAGGGGGACGGGACCCTTCATGCTTTTAGGGCCTCTCTGAAAAGGGGGGTTTAAAAAAAAGTGGGTGGGGGAGTGCTTTTGTGTGAGCATCATTCAATTGCGCCTCTCTGTGGGAAGGGTAAGCGTCCACGTGCCAGCTTCAATAGGCGGCACATCCACCAGTGGCATTGCACATTGAACACAACCTGTGGCGAAAGGACGCTTCGTGGATGTGACGAAGGCACAAAGAGTGGCTTCAAGTGCACAAATATGTACATTCAATTTAAAAAAAATACACAAACATTTGTAGAAAGTTTATCATCATCAGCATCAGATTTAAATTATTATTTTTCATTATGCGCGTGCACAAGTCGAACCCCAAACAAAGCACAAAGGGAAACTGAGGAAATGATCAGGGGTGAGTATTTAGGGATCAAAATTCTATCGAGACAGCCAGAACTTTCTTTCCGGGATGATGCGGTGATTTTTTTTTTATCCCGCTCGTATAGGCTGTAATATTGAACGTGATTGTTAGATGTGTAATCATTTCATGGGTGAACATGAAAAACGGATCAAATCGACGTACATCTGTCAGATGAATATATTAATTTAAATCAGTTTCAAAATAGAAACATACAATTGGATGGTCTTAACATGAAATACCAAACTATATCTTTTAAATTATTCCAAATGTAAGTTTTCCATTTCATGCATGAACTTGATTAAAATACAGCCTGAGTGGTGCTTTTAGAAATCCAGGTTGAGAGAATTCAATCTGCCAGATGACGCAATCGTATCATAATTCATTTTGACATTGAAATATTATTTGTAAATTGTTGTGATTTTATACAAATGTGTTATTAGATACACTGTGCAATGTTTACTCGGTGATTTATTTGTTTGTGGACGAAAAAGTAGTGTTTGAGTGCGTGCACCATGACCAGGCTGGCCCATGTGAGGGGTCGTGCTTTCTCCACTTGCACTTGGGCAGCCGGGCCAGGTGCAATGGGAGCGCCCTCTTATGTTCAGCCGGACCACAGGGACCGTGCACCATGACTCCAGCTCCACGGGAGACAAGCCCACGGACCTGCGCACTTGGGTCTCGCAGAGGAGCGAGTCGGACTGGTGGTTTATGGACAACACAGCACAACACAACACAACACAACAACTACAACAAGAACAACAACGTGGGGTGGAGAAAGCGTGCATGAATGACGTATGTGGCGAAAAGAAATGATCGCAGCACTCCTATTGTCACCTATTAATGGAAGAACTTTGTAATTAACATTTTGTGAGTAGATAAATTCGCAAAAGCAATTTGAAATAATTGGAAAATAATTTGCAGTCTGTTGGATAAAATGCAAATGTAACTTTTTAACGATTCTGAGCAAATTAGCCTTAAGAAAATGTGCTTCTTTAGCCTTTTGATGGGTGGGTGGGATTTATAAATAGATACATTTTTTTAAAGTGCATCCAATACCTGCTCTTTTGTTCTTTTCCTGTCTTTTGTTTTCTCGCGGTTGGTACAATATGCCAGAGTTGAATACAGCAGTGTCTTTTTCAAATAATGCAGACTTTGCAATCGTCATCACATCTGGTTTACAAGTAATTTTGAGGAAAGGATGTGTTAAGCATTTCTTTAAAACGACGTATTTATTTCTGTTAGGCGAGGATGCATTCGGTATTACGTGATTGTGGAAATCTGGAGAGTGACGTGAATGGAGGGGGGGGGGTGATATTCTGATGCTTTATCCAGCCATATTTTAAATATGTCTTTTGGAGCCCCACGTTTTGCATGTTATAATTTACATCATTTCACGATGCATGTAATGCTCGTTCGATTTTCCATTATTGTAAGGAAAGAGAAAGTTATTCATTCTCGATTGATAATTCTTTTTTTTTTGTATCGTGAATGCAATGTGGATAATCTATGAATATTGAAATTACGGTTGGACAAAGAGTTTATCACTTTTTTTTCACCGCCCCCCCCCGACCACTCCACCGAAATGAGACCTTGAAATGTTTCCAGCATAAAAACGATTTTGATGCATGACAACATGTACACACGGGTGTAGCTTGAGGTGAGAAATGAGGATGCGTGTCCTGCTGTTGTGATGTTAAGAGTTAAAAAAAATAAGTGACCGTCTGGTCAGTCTGTCTCATTTACATAAGAAACAAGGGGCCATATCAATTAATCTCTCACATCTATTTGTCCCGCCACCCTATTAATGACCGCATGCATAATTCAATATCATTTTGAACGTTGGACTAACATAATATATGTTTTTTTTTCTCTCAGACTTAATCCTTCCGAAAGTCACTTTAAATAATATATGTAAATATTTTCAAACAAAAAAAGCATAATTTACAGCGAAGTGATGATGCGCCGATTGCGGTAATTATTTATTTTGTCTTAAATCATAAAGCCGAAAATAAAAACGAAATTAAGCAAAGCACAAAAAAAAAATACAGTCTTTCGTCCAGCTTCATATGTGTTTGCACGCGCGCGTGTGTGTGTGTGCGGGGGGCGTTATATGTTTGCTGATTTTAAATAAGAAACCGTATTTTAATCATTTCGATTGTATTTATTTTTTCGTTGTTCCATGAAATAACACACAAAACACGAAGTGTGTGTATGCGCGTGCGCGTGTGCGTGAGTACGCGTGTTGTGTGAGCGTGTGTGTGTGTGTGTGTGTGTGTGTGCGTGCGTGCGTGCGTGCGTGCGTGTGTGTGCGTGCGTGCGTGCGTGTTTGTACCTACAGTATATTCAACGTCATCACACGTCCCCACTGCTTCCATGTCAGAACATTGTGAGAAAACCGTCTGAAAAATGTTGGAAAAATGTTTTGTTTTTGTTTGTTTTTCTCCGTGTTTGTACCTTATATCGACGGCCTTTCATGTTTTCTTTGTTTTTCGCTAACTGGAACTGTCAGATTTCAGTTTTTGGTGCGCACACATTTATTAAAACAAAAAATGTCACACAATACGAACGGGAAAAAAACGAAAAATTATTCGACTTTTAAATTAATTACATATGAATATTGAACTATAAGTCATTCGAAATGAAAAGAAATAATCATTTTAACAGTGTTTTATACGTGAAGGTGAAGAAGCCCTGCAAGACGCAGATCTGGTCGAGACACGGACTTGACTCGTGT